AGGCCCGCCGGGAGATGCTGGGGACTCTGAATAGAGACCCGTGGGGACGCCCGTACCGCATGGTACGCGACAAGCTTCGCGCTTGGGCTCCCCCGCTCACTCAGAGTCTCCGGCCAGAGGTCGTTGAGGAGGTAATTGGCGCCCTGTTCCCCCGGCTGTGGAGGGGCTTCACCCCTCCGTATATGACTCCGCCCCCTGCGGTGCCCGACGCGGGCTATAGCGACGACGACGACGACATCGTCCCAGAGGTGACCGAGGCAGAACTGAGAGCGGCGGTGCGCCGGATGGGCGCCAAGAACACCGCCCCAGGACCCGACGGCTTGCATGGCAAAGCATGGGTCCTGGCCTCAGAGGCTCTCAGGCCTCGATTAATCGGTCTCTACAGCGCATGCTTGGAGAGAGGCCAGTTCCCGCTGCTCTGGAAAGCGGGAAAACTGGTCCTCGTGCGGAAGACGGGGCGCCCTGCGGACTCTCCGTCCGCGTACCGGCCCATAGTGCTGCTCGACGAGGTGGGGAAAGTCTTCGAAAGAATCATTTCGAACCGCCTCGTCGCGCACCTGACGGATATTGGGCCGGACCTATCGGACGGCCAGTTCGGCTTCCGCAGAGGGCGCTCCACGGTGGACGCCATCATGCGCGTTAGGGACCGGACGACGGGGACTGCAGTGTCCAGGGGTAAGGTCGTAGTGGCGGTGTCTCTGGACATCGCCAACGCCTTCAACTCCCTGCCCTGGAGCTGCATCTTGGAGGCACTCCGATATCATCGGGTGCCTACCTACCTCCGTCGTGTAATCGAGGCATACCTGACGGACAGGTCCGTCATCTACCCCGGTCACCGGGGCGAGTGGAACCGGCGAGAGATGTCACGCGGTGTTCCACAGGGTTCGGTTCTGGGGCCGCTCCTGTGGAACATCGGTTATGACTGGGTGCTGCGCACCGACCTCCCGAACGGCGTTAGCATGATATGCTACGCCGACGACACGCTGGTGCTAGCGCACGGGAGGTCGCACCAGGCGGCGGCCGATTTAATGGCGACAGCGGTTGCGACAGTCGTTGAGAGAATCCGGCAGTTGGGACTCGAGGTGGCGCTCCACAAGTCCGAGGCCATGTGTTTTCATGGCCGCGGGAATGCGCCACCTCCTGGTGGGTCTCAAATAATGGCGGGAGGGGTTACCATCGGCGTCGAGACGGCGATGAAGTACCTGGGACTCGTCCTCGACAGTCGATGGAACTTCATAGAGCATTTCCGACGTTTGGCTCCAAAGTTGGAGAGGACGGGGGCTGCGTTCAAACGCATCCTCCCCAACCTCGGGGGGCCAAACGCCTCCTGCCGGAGGTTATACGCCGGGGTCGTGCGGTCCATGGCCCTCTACGGCGCCCCTGTTTGGGCGCCGAACTTGTTGCGGCGTCCTGCTCGGACGCTGCTCAAGTCACAGAGGGTCATGGCGATCCGAATGATCCGTGGATACCGCACGATCGCTGGGGAGTCGGCGAACCTCCTTGCCGGATTACCGCCGTGGGATCTGGAGGCGAAGGTGCTCGCGCGCGTGCATAACATGCGCGCGGAGGCACGTCGCCGGGGCGAAACTCCGCTGCCGCGCCAGATAAGTGCGTGGCGGGATGAGCTCCGGCGCGATCTCATGGCGGAATGGCAGCAACGACTGTCGCAACCGAGGGCTGGGCTCGCTGCCATTGCAGCGGTAAGTCCCCTCTTTGAGGAGTGGCTTGAGAGACGCTACGGCGTCCTCACCTACCGCCTGACGCAGGTCCTCACCGGACATGGAAGTTTCGGGAGGTACCTGTGTCTGATGGGGCGGGAGGAAACGCCCGGGTGTCATCACTGCGAGGACCACCCTGAGGACACGGTGGAACACACTGTTGCGGAATGCCCTGCGTGGGCTGAGCACCGCCGTGCCCTCAGGGAAGTGATCGGCGATGGAGACCTCTCGCGTCCGGGCCTAGTTCAGGCCATGATGCGGAGCGAGGGGGACTGGGATGCCGTCTCCTCCTTTTGCGAAGCAGTCATGCTGGCTAAGGAGGAGGCGGGACGCGCGAGGCAGCGAAGCGCTGCCTCCTCGCAACCCAGCCATCGCGAAGGACACACCGGGCGTCGGGGATCGCGGGACGATCTCCGGCCACCGTAAGCGCGGGCCTGCGGACGGCGAGCATGGGTGGCTCCCCGTCCGACCAGAAACAGACCCGAGCGTACGGCGCGTCGCGTTCCGCGCGCGCCTCAAAGAGCCATCAGACCACCACAGATGGGGCCCAATAGGGCCGATGCCGATTCGGAGTCGCGGAGAACCTAACGGGTAACCGGGGCTCCGGCTCGACGTGCAGGAGAAGGAACGGGGTGGTTTTTAGTCAGTAAGAGTCTGACACTCCCTTCCGCCTCACCCAGGCGGGAGCAGTCATTCGATGATTTTCCCCCCTTAAAAAAAAAAAAAAAAAAAAAAAGACAGTCCGGTCTTTCTGTGGTGATGCATCACCCTCTCACATATTTGTTCTAGAGGGTAAACTAACAATTATTTGACCTTTCGCACTTACAAATGATCATTCTTGTTATTTACGTGATTTGCTGTTATCCGAAGCCAATGTGGCCAATCCAATATTGACGGTTGTTCGACAACGGTAAGGCAAGAAGGAAATTAAGATGGACGACCAACTTCTAAGTTCAATCGGGTCAAGCTATGTATTATTTAGAAGACGGGTACATTTTAAGTGGTGTACCGTCCCTGCCGCCATCCTGCATAATTATTTAATCAAGTTTCTTTGCGCACTTACGAACTAGTGTCTAATACGTCGTCGGATGCGGCTTCATGAATATCTCAAATTGTTTTTCAACTCATCTCTCTGTTGGTTTAAAGTACATTTACATTCATTCATATCTTAAAGTTCTTTATGATACAGCTACACTGCCACAATGTTATAAAAATATTATTATTGTGCTATTTTTATTTCAACTGAAAAGAAAAACAATTCAGACCATTAATAAAATTAGAAATCAATTTTATAAATAAACAATTATAAATCTCGAAAGTTTAGAAATCAGTAAAACTTTTAAGGATTAAATGAAGAAGAGAAATATTAATTAACTGCGACTGAGGCGGGGCGCGGAGGGTTCGATGTCGGCCATTTATAGCTGTCCAGAGGCACGGAGGTCAAAGGGCACTTGAACACTTCTGATGAAAAATTTACAGCACCCATGTCTTCATGTTAAAACCATAAGCGATATATCAACGCCACAGTTCAGGTCACTATTACACCAACGACCTTCAACAGTCATTGGATTATAGCGCTGCGAAACTTCAGCGTAAAGTTAAATTCCATGATAAATGATTCTGTGTTCAATTATGTATTTTGGGCAACGCGAGACTAATTAACATACTTTATACATAGTTTCGTTATGCCTAATAGAATTTGTCGGAACTTCAGATTACCTACAATGAATGGATCCATTTAGTTCACTTCCTAACTAAATCCCATAAAGTGCTCTTTCAAGGATTTCTTGATAATTCTATAAATAATAATTTATGAAATTCAGTACCTATGATGTTTCCAATTAAGTAGAAATGGTAATATTTCATTAATTAATTCTTTGTCTTAAAATATTCGGTAACAAGCGTAGCTTTATTTGAACTTCTTGAGAAATTAAAGAAGGATCACTTACGAATCAAGCCTTTGTAATTTGTTACTTATAATGGATTTTAGACAATACTATATGCATATTAATAGGTATATTTATTTCTTGATGACTAAAAAGAACAAGTTGGTAATTGCCAATATTCAAAAAAATATTTACGGTAACATATTTTGGAGCGAAGGTACTTAAATCAGAGACGGTTACAAATCAAATAGAGCATAACTTATTGCATTACAGAATGGTGAATTACTTATTCACTATTATACCAACTACTGAATTTTAAGTAAATTACCTACACACTATTTTTTCAATTTTGGAAGGGTTTCATCAATAGACCTTTATTTACAACATGTTTTTATACACAAATGGCAGAATAATGGCTTGGGGATTAAACCTCTACTGGTACCGACATATAAGCCAGTATCGAGCCTTTTAGTCCCTGGAGCCCAAAAGATTCGATTTCGAAACGGTGAATGTGATATCTAAAACAACATCTTTTTCTGTGCGCTAATAATACGATCATTAGTCCCATTAGCCGACGCCAGGGTCACAAAGGGAGCACATACCCATTTCACGTCAGCAAGCTCATTATTAATTGATGAAAAGGATTTATATTTTGGTGTAGGTGTAGCAGTGTTTTTTAAAAAGTGTATAAGTATAACTGCTTCAATGTGTCACTGTGTCGAGTAATTTGTTTTAACGAAGACCTTTTATGTAGTAATGTTTTTAATCACAGGGATATTAAGCATGTTCACGGCTCAATTACTAGTCGATTTAATGTGATCGATGTTTTGCATCTGAAGATGCGATATGAGGCTGGGTTTAGTGTCGCGCTGACCGCACGCTGACCGCCAGCGCTGACCACCGTGGGTTGATAGCTACGCTTCATTCAAAAACGCTTCCTAAAAGTTCATATATCTCGTCCCATCAGCACAGAACCCTCTGTGCGCATGCCGTCAGTGTGATACCAAAATCAGCCTAAAGAGTTATCTTTCATATTTCTATATATCATTAACTGTCTATATTTAATAGCTTACCGTATTTTAAATAACTTTAATGATGCCTGCACCATTTGTTACGTTTTATTTAGTTAAAAGCTTGTTAAAAGTAACAATATACGAAACTCAATCCTATCACAACAATGCGCTGATTTTGTACATGTTTTCGAGGTAAGTAGCCTTGAGTTGTAAACATTTTATAAATGTGGACGTGGAATTTGTAACTTTATTAAAAACCGCCAACCGGTTAGTAAAATTAACAATAACAGGATCATATTTGTTAATGAATTATGGTTTGTATCTTTCTCGTAACATGTTTACTTTTGCGGGGTTGCGGTAATTGTCACGCGACATGAGGAAATTCAATTAAGTCCCGTGTTATACTTGTTCTGAACATAATTTATGTCACGACACTTTAGGGTCACACTGTTTTCACACAAAATGCGTGGCTTGACAGAGTATCGTGTATTAGATTTCCTTCTATGCGGTTTCTCATTGTCGACGAGATAATCTATACTGGCAGATTTATATAATTTTAACATTTCTGACTCCGGTGCGTAACAGGCTGGTAGATTTTCTATCTTTTCGATACTAAATGACTTTAAAAAATCTTTTATTGATAACATGAAACTTTGAAATATGCTGATATGTCGGTAAAATCGGTAGTCTCCGAGTGGCCACTGACGGAGAATGGCAACAATATCGCGATGTCCTCGGCATACTTTCAATTTCATTGGCATAGTTTTCGCGTCTCTTTTAGTGATTATAACCGAGGCACCAGTGCAGCGGTCTGATTGAAGTGTAGCCTGGACGCTGGTAGATTTATTGTGTTTCCCAATTACGGACCCCTTGACCTGGATGGACACTTGACGGCTCGTAAAATATCCACTCCCAGTTTGTACCGATATTGTGGCAGTTTCTGCATCGTTGTTCTTAATGGTGTAGAAGCTATTTGTGGTAGAATTTGCAGCATCAGTAAGTGGGATGCTTTTCACTTCGATGCTCTCAGAACCAGACGCTGCAGCCTCTTCTATAGAAATAGAATCTATGGGCTCTCTTTTTTTAAATACGCGTTGACGCAGTTCATCTAATAAAGCAGTAGAAGGATCGTTTACTAGTTTACCCAAACTCCACAGAAGATGTCCCATATTATTCGATGTAAATAATGATAAACAATTAGATTTGTCAATTTTATTGGTTATGTCATCACATAAAGTCAAAACATGATAATAAAAACATAAAGTTTTTCTTCTTATTGTAAGTAGGTTTACTCATAGTATTGTGCTCGTTTAGGTTGATTCCGGCTCATGGACTGAATGAACAGTATTAAATGGTCCTCGTCATGGCTGGTGTCACTTAAGAGATTCCTATTTAAAATGCCGAGGGCAATTTTACCGAGATAGAAATCTGACACTCTTCAATTATCTGCACGTAGCATTCCACACAGAAATGGTTTTTGGCGAAGAAAAAAGTTTCGAAGTATTTATTTAGAAAAATGATCCATCCACTTCCACAAAACTTGGAGTTCTGATGATAAGTCTAGGGTGTAATATAACTCAATGTAAACAAAATATAAGAGCAAAACATTGACAAATAGCGGTCTAATAAAGTTTCACGCTGATTTATCCAAGTGGTGAAGAAAATATTGGAATTATTACAGTCCAGTGATTTGGAATACTCAATTTATTACTTCATAGCCCGCTACTAAACATACTCATGAAGGTAAACATACTTTCAGAGACATTTTCCTTAAGTATATTTTTGTAAGTACGTATTTATATTAATATCGCCTGTTAGTGTAAGATGTGGTGAGGACATGAGGATCACCCTATATACGTAGATCCTGACGTAAGATAAGGTTTTATTGCAATCGGAGTAGTAGTAGGACTATAAACACGACCATAGTAGAAGTAGAAGCGCATCTTAAATTAATTTCGATTACTGTGGACTAACAACGATCATAGTACTAATGTGTACAAATATGAGTACTTGTGAGTATGATTAAGTGTCTGAGTCTTATGATCTGATTGGACAGTAAATTGTACCATGACAGTATATTCAAAGACCTGTAGGATATTGAAATATTTTGAAAATCAAAACCATTAAGGAAACATTTATTTTGCAAAGTACTTGAAGCTGAGGTACCGTCGGATATTGTTCTAAACTTGAACAATTTCAGATAGGACCGGCAAAACGTTTGTCTCGAAAACCATTTTCCAAATACACATTTCCGATACGAAATACTGAAATCTTTTGAAATCAGGTGTCCTATTTGTCATTTTCCGTTTTCTATTTGTCACAGTTCACGAAATGAAACATTGATTTAGATTGTTTGTTTTATTATTTCCAGATTTTGCTGTTTTCATAGGCTTTTTATTGTAGAGCATACATCATATAGGTACGATTCGAGTTTACAGGTTTATTAACGTTTTCAGTGACTGTTATAATTCGTAGTGAACAGTTAGAAAATGAACATTCTATCATTCAAACATCTACTTCAAAAACCTCGATCAGCTTGATCAAGAGAAGCTTATTAAAATTGCAATTTAATACTGTTCGTTCTTTTTACAGGGAAATAGTGCTGTCCAAAGTTAAATGCAGCGCTTTGACACTTTATATACAAAGTGGAAAAGTTGTATTTATTTGAACCCTTAATTAAGGTTGCTATCCAATATCGAACAATAGAAAAGTAACTTTAAGACTCAATTTTCCCGTTGAAAAGTGAATTAAAATTGCTTGGCAGTGTTTTGTTTCGTGGCGTTTGATTTTCAGCCTTATTGCTAGTGGATAAAGTCTGTGTCAAGGTCAGACTGACATCTGACGTATGCATGACTTGTGCGGAAAGATGCTGTCGACGAACACGCCATTCCGCACTATTCGTGCACATTTGATTGATGTAATCCGTACATTTTTTCCTCCCATTAGACTGATGGTGGATTGACAGACTTTGCTTGCAGTGACCATACAGTGACTGCAGATTGTTTGTCACTGTTAAATTAACTGACAAACTTCAAAGATTTTGAGCGTAGAAGTGAACCATGATTTATTATTTTAATTATTTATTACTAGCTTCTGCCCGCGACTTCGTACGCGTAATCCCATTTTTTCCTGTCCCCGTTCGTGATTTTCGGTAAAAAGTAAAAAGAAGTATTGGTTAAAAAGTATCCTATGTCGGTCTCCTGGCTCTAAGCTACCTCCCTACCAATTTTCAGCCAAATCTATTCTGCCGTTCTTGAGTTATAAGTGGTGTAACTAACACGACTGTCTTTTATATATATAGATTATGATTAATTTGAGATTAGATTTTTTCATCTGTTACACAATGACCCATATTCTGAATTTCTAACTCAATATCTAGATTGTTTTCCATATAGGTACTTTTATATTTTTACCTAATCACGATATTAAAACAAAAATGCCAGAAGGCAAAAATAATGAATTAATCAAAATTGAAAGCCATTAGAAGGCACTCATGTTCCATTAATTCCGAAGAAATTGCGAATACCGTTTTTGATGAAATTATTTTTTCTCGTGGTCAAACACGTGACGTACTCGTTGGTATAATATTTTGGAACAGAACATATTTTAATAGGATGTTAACTAAGGTTAGTTCCAGACCTAAGATATTATGAAACTAAGAGTAATTGAAATCAGTGTATAAATGTTCTCGGATCGATTTCAATCACGACCCATCTTAATTAGACTAGCTAACTATACATACTTATACGACATGAAAGTATATTATATGGTTAGGTACTTATTATGTTAGGTATTATTTTTTTGAAGGCTTGGTTAAAAAGTACGATGTTCCTGTCAATCTGTTAATGTCGTGTATATGTTGTAAGCTAAAGCTAGAGCTAAGCTAGAAATAATAAGCAACTTTCCAATGTTATATTTATATGAGTAGGCTTTGAGTAGGTATTCAACACAGAAAGTATGTTATAACAAAAATGAAAATCTTTTTGTGGAATGTTTAATTATTAAGGGCCAACCCTGACTACAAGCTCTGTTTCTGACACCGGCTTTAATTGTAGAACTCAATTCGGCGTGTGATACTTTTTGTGATAAAATTATAAAAAGTTTAATCTGATTCCGAGATTACAAGTAAAACCTTTCAGATTATACAACGTGTATAAAAAAACGTATTGGTTCATGAGTGGGGAATTATTCTATTCATGTTCATTTTAGCGTGGGTTGTGGCATATTTACAGGTGTCGCGACGTGATGAAGTGTTGTAACATAATCTCTAAAGGTCGGATATCTCGAGAGCTCATAAAATTCGTAACCTCTGAAGGGTTCGCTAACTTTTCTAACATTAGGTATTCGGTTTAAGTTGTAGCGAAGATGAAATATCTATTTTTATTGTTTTCAATTACTTAGGTATAAGTTATAAAATTTTTCCAAGAATTTTTGATTGTAGTCATGAAATTGAAATTCCTCTGAAATCTTTCGAATGAGTAATTAATGCAGAATATTTAATACGTTTTATTAGAAATTAGTTGCTCTTATCAAATCATATTAAAATATATACTACAATAATTTTTATTTCTTATTATTGAATTACGAAACGTCTACTAGATTGCGACAGAAATAGGTATGTTAAAATTAAACAAAATCACTCATTGTTACAACGTTAATTGCTTCAACACCTTTCTCAGATTAGATTTATTTAAAATACCAATAGGTTCAATTCGGTTTAAGAGGTCACTGTTAATAAAATATTTGAGATTAATACTATTCATTGTCTAGAGTTGATATGAGATTGTTTCATTACGTATTCAATTTGGCAATAAATTTCATAGATCGAAGTAGCTACTACCAAGCTAGCTACCAAGTCGTAATTGTTTAACTAAGTATATATATGGCATGTGGCATATGGTGGTATATGGCATATATAACTTATGCCTCGAGTAAATACATAGTCCACTTTTATACCTTGTTCACACTACGCTAGTATATTTTAGTCAATTAGCGAATATTCAGTAGTCCTCTCTCGCTTCTGTCCCAAAATGGAAGTGAGAGAGAACTACTAAATATTCGCAACTCGACTAACTAGCGTCGTGCAAACAAGGCATGAGTTGCAGTTATAAGTATAGCTACTATACTATTAGTGGTAGGTAGTGTAGCCATAGTTTTCGTGACAGTACAATGTTAAGGCGACTTAGAACCTATTATCGTCAAATGCTTTTAAAAATCCCACAATTGTTGGTGTTTACTTACCTAAATGTTGGGTGTTATTGTATGTATATTTTATCCTAGTATCAAGTTTGTGAAACGCAACTCAGTAGGTTGTTGGCAAAAGTGCTAAACTAGTTATATTTGCGTCAATCTATAAACTAACGAAAAAAAACTTTCCAAAAATAGAATAAAACCCAAACAACATTACGGTTGTTTATAAATAGAGATAAACAATCCTACTTTTCTATCTCAAAACAACAATTACACGTATCTCTTTGAAGATGAAGAACGGCACTTTTCAATGTGTTGCTTGTTAATAAAATCAATTAACTAAATAAAGAGGCTAGCCGATGTGTATAGAACCTTTTTGGAAATATATAGAAGCAAACGCAGGTTAAAATTAAAAAAGGTCGAATATAAAAGGGATTGCAAAAAAGGTGTAAAAGGAGGCGTTATTCAATTATCAAACTAATTATGGTTCGGAAAACAGAATATTGATTGTAAAAGCATTCAGAGCAAGGCCACGTGATGCCAAAAGTTTCAATATAAACAATTTTGGATCAAATTACGTTCACGGTTAGTTTCTGACTAATTGCCTAAGTTGACATTGTTTGCAGGAGCACAATAGCTTTTCGAGCATAGACTAATTTTAATTTTAAACCTTTCTGAGTTTGAGGGAAGTTTTGTTTCCACAGTTAATCAGCAGATGTTAAATGGAAAGTGCAGCTGTTGAGCTAATTGACCTCTGTCGAGAGGGCGTGGCGGTAACGTTTTGAATACCAGACAGAGAACGTTCTGCAAACTAAATACGAATTGAAATAAAAATAGACCTTGATTAAATATGACGTTACGTCTGTATTCCCTGAAGTGATAGGCAGACGTGTACTTAAAGTTTAATATTTTTTTCCTCCTAATTCCACCACAGGGCACAAATTCTAGACTACACGACGAAATTTGAATTGGGTTTTCA